CATCAGTGGGCAACCTCAACGTGATAATAGACTAGTTACTGAAAGCTGACTAGTTGTAATACTTATCAAGCATCATATTGCTACTTCATTGATGAAATTCAATCAGTAATGAAAGACTAAATTCTTAATTGTAGATATCTCAGCACTATAGTGGATCAATCGTGGCTAAAACACCTTGGTAATAACGTTTCAAATTGTAAAGCAGCATGATTGTGGTCAAACCCAACTGGGAACAACATTTTCTTTAAAAATGCACATACGTTTTTCTGAGAAGTGCAGGGTTTCCGCATAACTACTTTAAAACATCTTCCACCCCAACTAGGACTGTGGATGGAATGTTAACCAAAACTTGTGAAGCTGACATTAAGGGGGATAACATTGAGTTGTTAATTCGGAGTCAATTGATTTATATATACGACTTTAATTAATTTGTATAACTTTCATTTACGTTGATGTGTTGCACTACGCTCATCTAGTGCCAAACTGATGACGACGTTCACTTCCGATATTTCTAAACTCCACCAATCACAACTTCTCAACGGAAATTTAAGCGTTTAACTTTAAGGCAGTTAATAGCAAGTCCACAATCACTAAGTTAATTTATAGTGTTTCCGTGGTCAACCGCAAGTCACTACATTTGAAGATCCTGGATTTAATTTCAAGTGAGATCAGGAACGCGCAATGTTTGGAAAACCCGCATTCCTATCCAATGGTGAACATGGACTGGCTCCAGTATCCTGAAGAAACAAATGGCATATGGACCTGTTGTTGGTCACCGGTTACCATGTGACTACATCTCCTTACGTTGCTCCACTTGCTTGTGGATTAGACCTTTAGGTCAAAGGTCCGGAGTGTGGCTCCCTAACAAAACCATCTGCTTCGGCTTTGGCAACCGGGCAGTATCATAGTCCTCACTCAAATCATTTGATTTGTGTGGCGCTTGTCTGTTTGGTGCATCCTTTTATCAATATTTAAGTGTTGAGATAAATAAATAAGGCAACTACGACCGATTTCGGGCTAATGTCGAACACAGACTACAACCATTGATCACGATTATCATGTGAACTTAAACCAGTCAGTCTATAACCAACCAAAACGTCAAAACCAACGTTTATTGACTTTACAAACTGATGTCGCTTCAATTTTTGTAAACCTAAGCTTTACTCTACTCATTGTTTAGATCAACTAATACTGCTCATCAATGAAGGCGATGATCTAACATATGTAATACATGTCCCTGTTACCTCAAACAAAGATTTACTATTTCGTCAATCATTTTTTGCTTTTACGTTACCAAATCAGAACACAGTTGAACAGGAACGAAATTACATTCGAGATAACAATGGTAAATGAAAGTATGAAGCATGATAAGAGAAACGTTAGTATATTTATAAGTTTTACATGAGATTCTATAGTCTTCTTCAAGTATCCACTAGCGTTGATTGGTTAAGAAATAGCCAATCAGCGTGCAACAAAATAATCCTGCACAGGAACGTGCTTTAATCCAAAGTAACCTTATGAAACAGTTATATAATTTTTATCTTGAACTGGTATCAATTCATAATGATGAAAAACATATATCTACAAACAAGGAATACTTGCTTTCATGGATCATGGATCATGATGGACGAATTTTGATAGGTAAAATGAAACAAAAGGATGTATAGTGACTGACTGTAAGGAATGTTTCATTGAGTTCAAGTGGGAAGCAGTGACCAGTGAAGTTCAACCAAGTCTGTTGTAGAGATATCAACTCAATGAAGACAATTGGTGAAACGGTTGTTCAACTTCGTGCATCAGTTGAAGTTAGACATTAACACCGTTGGATGCCGATCAGCTCAGTGGTTTGTCGGTTAAGTGCTCTGGCGCGAGACTGGTAGGTCCTGAGTTCGAATCTGGTGGGTGCCGGATCGTCGATGCGCACTGCTGAGTCCCATAATAGGAAGGAACGGCCGTCCAGTGCCTCCAGGTTTTCCATGGTGGTCTAGCTTCAATTGACTCATGATTTCAACTATGAAAATATTGAAAAATCCATAATAACCCCTTCTGAACCAAAAGTATGTTCCTCGATAGATGACATGAAAATACTTCGATGTAGCCAAATGATAGATACTCATTAAACTAATTTATTGACAGAAAATCCCAATCGAGCTGGGATCAGAAATAATAGATCCATCCAGTAGAAGAGGTTATTCTTCTAGCAAAATAACATCCTCATATATAGGATACCATCAGTCAGTCAGTCATAACGTAGAACTTCGTACGTACGTACATCAGTTCGAGTTGTCATACCACATTAGCACAGAGATTCAGTTATCGATTCAAATCCCATAGTGGTATAAGTAGTAAGAGTATAAGCATACGAAAGAATAAACATGATTAGAGGTCATTTTGTAAATGGACGATTCAACGATATGGTCGGTCGTAGATCAAATTGATCTATAACTGTCGGGTTTATTATCTGACTCATTATATTAGTCACTACATAGCTATTAATATAGATCTTGATAGTTCAATCATCAGATGAAGTGTCAGTATTCAATAACTGAATAATTCCGATGATAAAGTCTTCAATTGCGATATTAAATGGAAAGGAGAATCAGTATGACGGCTGTATATATTTACCTTATTGACAAATGTTAATTAAAACGGCATCTAAATGTAACAGGGATTTCTGTAAACTTACTTCAATTGTTTAATGGATCATATATATGCATGTTAGGAAAAAAGGCGGACACGGCGCGTCCACCTAGGGGAGTTGGAAAACCCTGATTCCAAACCAATGGTGCACATGGACTGGCTCCAGTATCCTGAAGAAACAAATGGTGTATAAAATCAATCGCTGGTCACCGGCTACCATGGGACTGCATCTCCTCATGATGCTCCACTGCCTTGTGGATTAGATCTTTAGATCAAAGGCTCCGGGTGTGGTCCTCTAAGAAAACCACCTGCTTCAGTTTGGGCAACCGGGCAGTATCGTATCCCTCACATATCAAATGAGATTTGTTTGGCGCATATATATCTGGTGCTTCCTTGTACCAATATTGATGTGTTCAAATAAATAAATAAATAATGTTGGAAAAATCTCACGTGATTCAACTTTTCTTAATAAACGGTAGTTCTGATGTATAATGAAGACCATGGCAACCCTTTTCACCTAGTATTTCCCCATTGCCATTAACTAATTGGTTGTTTATTGAGATTATGAACCTAATTAAATGAGATAAAAACTGAAAACCTAGAAGCAATAGATGGTTATTTCGCCCTAATATGGGACACCTCAGTAATACGCGTCCACGACTTGAAAACTCAGATACGTTCATGATCTTTATAAATTTCAACAATCTCCACTCCACCTGTAGCTCCTCCGGGGACTACTGCCAGGCCCAAGCCCGGGTAAAGCAGGAGGGTTGGGCATGGGGTTAGCGAACCCTATCCCGTAGAAAACCAACTCGCTAAAAAAACGCTAACCAGAAAATAAATGTAAGTCTTACTTTGGTAGTTATGTTATACTTCAGAGCCATAATTGTTTTTCTGCATAAATAGAGTTATTCTAAGTATAATTTTAATCGTTTTTTTTTTGAATTCTTGACTTTTCTTTGTTGGATCATTTAGCGTAGTGTTGCATATTAGTCGTTCGATCATGGAAAAATCCCTCAATTGTTCGTTATTTAAAATTATCAAAAACTATCACACGACGGGCTACATTGCGAAGTCGTGCATGGATGACAGCTGACAGATGCATTCCGAGTAAGGACCGGAGTCAAACAAGACTGTCTACTCTCTCCCTTTCTCTTTCTTCTAATAGTGAACTGCATTGTTAATATCTCGATATCTGAGGAAAAGCACGGAATACAACGGACAGCTTAGAATCAACTAGAAGATTTTGACTTTGCAGACAACCTAAGTTTTCTACCCATACACATCAACATATACAGGTTAAGATAAACAGTGTAGCAGCAGCCTGTGCATCAGTAGGCCTCAGCATATACAAAGGAAAAGCAAGATCCTCAAATACGATACGGAGAACACCAAACCTATCTCACTTGATGGAAAAACTCTATAAGATGTAGAATCTTTCACGTATCGCGTAAGCATCATCGATAAACAAGGAGGATCTGATACAGACGGTAAAGGGAAGGGTTGTCAAAACAAGTGCAACATTCCTACATTTGAAAAATATATGTGGGACTTAGAACAACTGTCTTCAAGCTAATATCAAAGTGAGAATCTTCAATACGAACGTCAACAGAGTCAGTTATATTGTAGGGAGTTGAAACTTGTAGGACTCCCACAACCATTATCAAAAAGGTACATGTTTTTATAAACACAGGTCTACACAAAATACTCAATGCCCGTTGGCCGGATACTATCAGCAACAACATACTGTGAGAGGGAACAAACCAGGTTCCATTTGAAGAGGAAATTAGAAAAAGATGTTGAAAGTGAACAGGAAATACATTATGGAAATCAGCAAACTGCATCACGAGGCAATTGCTAACTTGGAATCTTGAAGGGAAACAGAAGACAGGAAGACCGTAGAACAAACTGCGTCGTGAATTTGAAGCAGACGTAAAAAGGATGAATAACAACTGGAAAAGATTATCCAAGACGGAGTTGAATAGAGAGCGCTAGTGGGCAACCTACGCTCTTTCATGAAGGGTAACTGGTGTGAGTAAAACGTAAAAAAGAATCCTGTAAACCAAACTACTTATCCATTTAGTATTGTTTGTTTGAATGTTTCCATCGATGTGTTAGGACTGCAACTGGTCAATCTCTAATTGGCATATGTGAATACTGTGCGTAATGCCTCGATATAGCCTAAATTGAAGCAAAAGGTACTGGTTTCGAGTGCTAGAGTGAACACCAACTCTGAGATGCAGATACATCCAGCTGACGAGTCCCAAATAGGACGAAACGAGCGTCAAACTGGATTCTACTACTAACCACTATCCATCTTTGCAAACTACTTATCGTTTTAAGAAAGAAAAGAACACACTGAATATCATTGAACTCGCTTCTTTTATATTCTCTAATGTTTAAATATTATTAAGATAATGATAATAATAATACCATTAACGTAGGATCAATCACATTGGCATATACATATATATAGTTGTCCATTTACATGCCTTGACGACAAAAACAAACAAAACAATCACAAATCATGTGAAAAAGTAACTGTGTGTTTTTTACAAGGTATCATAATAGTCACCATGGATGAAGAATGCTGGGACCGGCCTATGCTCCTCGACGAGGGGTAACAGGCGTAAGTAAGTAAGTAATAATAGTCACCAAGCCACATGTCCAAATAAAGATCTAAATATATATACTGTACAAAAAAAAGAAGGGGGGACAACATAAACTAATCACAGAACAAACAATATACTCATACATACATACATACATACATACATACATACATACTACATACATACATACATACATACATACTACATACATACATACACACACACATACATACATACATACACAAGGAGGGGATCACAATAAACATAGATTAGTAACCAGTATAACGTGAATAAGATGAATGTGGAATAGTTGACATATGGGATTGTTGTTGATTATTATTACCAGTATTAATTATTGTTGTTGGTGTTAGATCAGATCGAATCATTGGATTCGATTGAGATGGGTTAATAATACGTGAATGAATTCTAGATGGATTTAATTGTGTATCCACTTGTGAAGGTATATAAGACATATGATGTTGTTGTTGTTGTGATTGAACATCAGTTAGTAGATGACTAGCTGGAAATTCATAAGCTGATGAACGTGACATTATTGTTGTACCAGGTTGATGAATAGAATTCATAGCGGAATTTACTGACTGTCGTTTAAATTGTTCATCAATACTTGATTCATTTGTATTCATTATATAATTAGCTTCATCAGATGGAGGAGCACGAAATGAATATTGTTGAGATTGATGATTAGATATCGGATATGGTGGTGGATTTGGCATACCAGGTGGAAGTTGTTGGGGTGTTCCAGAAGTATGACTAAGAATTTGATGAGATTGTTGTTGAGATGATTGTTGTATAGATCGAGAAACATTGCCAGCTCCACCTCCACTTGTAGTTAAATGCCGTCTTAATGAACCAGATGGACTATCAATCAGATGAGCATTAGATTGGTTAAATTGGTTATTCATCTGTGATTGGTCAAACACATGACCTTGATGTGACAATACAACAGAGTTATTTGCACTGAAATTTGATCCATACGACTGCTCAGGATGAAGCTGTTGTTGTTGTTGATGGTGCTGCTGGGCACGATTACGCAAGAAACCGCTTAAATTAGCCAAATGTTGTTGCTGATGGTGTCCACGAGTGGATGATGGCAGTTGTTGTTGTTGTTGCATTTCAAGTAAATTCATATTATAAACATTTTGTTTGTTTGTCCATTGGTGATTGGGTTCAGTGACTTGTTGTTCCGGATTCATAATATTATAAGAGTATAAATTCACGGAACTATTATTATTACTATTATTATTATTGCTATTCATCCTATCATAGCCTACAACATTCACTGAACCAGTGGTATGCATACCACCACGTGTAGTTGCACCACTGGGACGTATAGAATTTCGATCTGTTATATTACCACCACCACGACGTCCCGATCCTCGTTTACGTTTTGTCGTTACTGTTTTCGCTGCTGATGTCAACACATGACCAGCGACGACATTGTTATTCGTCGGTGTTGATAGCATAGTAGCATTATTTGAAGGTGGAGGTATTGAAGGTGTTCCAGTTGGATTCATTTGAATTTGTTGTTGAGATGATGTTGATGATTGAGATGCAATCAATCTATCATTATATTCCATACCTAATAATTTATTAGTCTTATGCAAATTAACATCTAATTGATGATTATGATGATGACTAAGAGGATATGTCATTGTATTTATATGTCCTGCTACTGTTACACAATGATTCATAGATTGTTGCTCTAATTCATTCGGATTAGGATAATCATTCAAAACAGTTTGTTGCGACGGTAGTTTACGCGTTGAATTAGTATATACCTGATCTGAATCTAAATTCATCTGTTGTTGATGATGATGATGCCCATGGATTGGTTGTGAATGTGAATGAATTTGCAATGAAGATGACGAAGATGATACAACACCAACACCACCACCGCCAACAGTTCCTCCTCCTAATGATCCACCAGAGGAGGAGGATGAGGATTGAAAAGCATTCATACGATTATTCAATGATAATTTATCATTTATTTCAATATCATTTCTAGCATTCAACAATTTTCCACGTCCAAGTTGCATACTGTTGTTATTATGATTATTATTCCCACTATTCGTTATAGTATGAGCATTTGTTGACCCAGACGATGTTGTCATCATCATCATTGACATCATCATACTAGTATTACCACAATCAAGTGGATTACCGGATTTTATCGATGGGTTGGATTCATTAAACATTAAACTGGTGGTAGGATGACATGACATAGAAGAGATATTATGTTTTTGATCATACAATACACCGGTAGATTGGTGGTGATAATTACCGCTAGAGTCCCCACTTCTAATATTGTTGTTATTATTATTGCCACTGATAGGTAAAAATTGATTTGAACATTCGGATAAATTTGTCTCCGACAATTGTACCATATCATTTAATGATAGTAATTGAGACTCTCTCATTACATCCCTAGAGTTACTAGTATTATTACCTTTGTTGAATATACTACTTATAGAAGCGTTGTTAGTAGTACCAACGGTACCATCACTATTATTATTGGAATTTTCTGTTTTAATCATTTTATTAATAACGTTAGGATCATCATGTTCCCCGACATCACCTAGTTTAACACTATTCCCTGACATCTCTTCATCAAGTATTTGTGAATAAATTGGTGCCATATAAAATTCTGGTGGATGAAACATTCTATAAAAATGATCATGACGTATTAAACGATTTGCTTGTTCTTCAATACGTGATAATATAGATTCTGTATTTATAGCACCATGTATAGATAATAATAATGATTGTTTACTTGGATCATATATTTCCCATGGTGTAAAACGTTCTTTACCTAAGAATTGATATCCATACTTTTTAAGTTGATGTGATGATGAAGTAAGAAATCGTGATCCATTAGATAATAAACAATTTCCAGCTTTATTAGAACCTTTTGAATTATTTAATTTATTACTACTATTATTACAAATACCTGAACCAGTACCACCACCACCACCTGATGAACCAACGCCGCCACCTCCTCCACTCCCTCCACTACCACCACCACCTCCAGAACCAAGTGATCCTCCACTCATATTTGACAATCCACCACGTGTTCCACCACGTGGTTGTCGTCCAGTAACAAATATTGTATATGAACCTTTTGTAAGTAATAATAATGGACGAAGATATTCAATTCCAGAACATGGTGGACGTTCCATTAATTCACGACGTATTTTTTTAGCTATGGTTTGATAATGTTTACCTTCAATACCAGAACGTGCTGTTATAGTATGTATTAATAATTGTAACATATCATAAACTATATAAAATAATTTTGAGTTCGATTCCGGTTCTATAATACTATGACTTATAAGTTGAGCTAATAATGTAGCCCAACGTATACTACTATCTATATCTAATTGTATCGTGGAGAATTTTTGTCCAACTAAAATTAAACGATATTTTAAACATTTCTGAATAATGGATCGAGTATGTAAATTGTCGGGTAAATGATCAACTAAATAACGTGAATTTAATAAAAAATATTCAATTTGTTCATATAATGAATCAATTAAATAATCTGAATCAGGTAAACATACTTTTAATAAGGATAAAAAAGTTGGATGAGTTAATAGAATAGAATGATTTAATAAAATTGTTTCTTTATCTTCATCATTTTTATGTTTCCAAAAATTTTTTATACCTTTTAAAATCTAAAAGAAAAATTTTAAAAAAAAAACTTTAGTAACAATAATAATCAATAATTGATTGATTTATTGAAAATCAATTAATGTCAAATAATCCGATCAATGTGGGAGGTAGAAGCCCACCCCACCCCCTCGAAATACTCTCACATAGTCATGCGTATATAGCCTCTGCCAAAGAAGTACTACTCATTGCCTTACAGTGACATTACTGTTGTTTACGAAATTGAGAGGACGAAAAGAGAATGTCCGGCGCTTTAACCAGGTTGGTGGATATGGAGAATCTAGCTTGAGGAGTTGAAAAACCCTGATTCCAAACCACTGGTGCACATGGGCACATGAGGGAACAAATAGTGTATGAATCAATCGTCTGTCATCGGCTACCATGAGACTACATCTCCTTACGATGCTCCACTGGCTTATAGATCAGACCTTTAGGACAAAGGCTTCAGGTTTGGCCAACATACTTTTAACAAGGATAAGAAAGTTGGATGGGTTAATAGAATAGAATGATTTATTAAGATGGTTTCTTTATCTTCATCATTTTTATGTTTCCAAAAATTTTTTATACCTTTTAAGATCTAAAATAATGAAGTAAAAGAAAAAAAGAAAAGCACCATAGTAACAATAGTAATGAATGAATGATTGATTGCTTGAAAACAAATTCGTGTCCCCTCCTCAAAATGCCCTGATACGGCCGAGAGTGGGGAAAATCCGCTCTCCCTCTCGAAATGCTCTCACATAACCACGCGTATATAGCCTCTGACAGGGAAGTCCTACTCACTGCCTTCTCGTGACGAGGGTGTTGTTCTCGAAATTGAGAGGACGAAAAGCGAATGTCCGGCGCTTTAACCGGGTTGGTGGATGTGGAGTGTCCACCTAAGAGAGTTGGAAAACCCTGATTCCAAACCAATGGTGCACATGGACTGGCTCCAGTATCCTGAGGGAACAAATGGTGTATGAATCAATCGTTGATCAACGGCTACCATGGGACTGCAACTTCTTACAATGCTCCACTACCTTGTGGATCAGTTCTTTAGATCAAAGGCTCCGGGTGTGGTCCTCTAAGAAAACCACCTGCTTCAGTTTGGGCACCTGGGGAGTATCACAGCCCTCACACAAATCAAATGAGATTTGTGCGGTGCATATGTATCTGGTGCTTCTTTGTACCAATATTTATGTGTTCAAATAAATAAATAAATAAACTGAAAAATATGTGAGATGTTGAAGTGGGAATATTAAAATAGGTAACTAACTTTTATTAAAACCATAAGTAGCTATCAGAACAATTCAGAAAATAACTTTCAGAGGGAATAAATTCACGCTTAAATTAAAGAGGACATGTAAAACATGTGAAATATCGTGAATTGATTTCAGTTAAACAGTAACACTGTTTGAATCCGGCTCACTCGACCATAAGTTAAATGTGCACTGCTAGCTCAATGTTCGATCAATCGTAAGGTTATGGATGTGCGCTATTGAGCAGTTCCATATTAAAATGAGACGGTAGTCCACTACCTTCTAGTTTTTAATAAAGGTCTAACTAAGATCAGCTCGTGAAGTAAGCTATGAAAATTATACTATCACCACAAATCCCCCTATACACATTTTAAAATTCAACTTTAGAAGCTATCAAGATGATCTTGAACGAAACAACTAATGGTATTGTGAATACATCTTTATCCCCTGACATCTTAAATAGATCAATATAATTTTGATAAGTTTTAAAACAAAAAAACGAGAATAATTTTGACAAAGAGAATCCGCGTTATTCACTTATACATTTTCTGAAGGAGAAAACGTATCCGTTAAGCATGGTATTATTACTTAATAAGAGAATTTCAGTCAGTCAGTCACAACGTAGAACTTCGTATGTACGTACATCAATTCGAGTTACCATACCACATTAGCACAGAGATCCAGTTGTCCATTCAAATCCCATAGTGGCAGAAGTAGTAAGAGAATAAGCAGTAATCGGAAAGATTTGGGTTTGAAGATGTAACTGAAGGAGTAAAATCCAGAGAAATAAATTTAGAAAGAGAAAATGATAGGGACATGAGGAATTCAGAAGATTGAAATTTGGCAGAATACAAAGAGTGGATGCACCTTCGCCATTGCAAACGATTTTGAGTCATGTCATTCAAGGTCTCTAACAATCGATTGCTATCATCTCGCGAATCCCAACCAGGTAGTCTACACTTACCAACATTCCTCAGTCTACTTATCAGTGACTTCATGAATTTGTGCCACGTTTTGGTCTGATCGCCCCTATCATTCTTCCAACCTACTCCTACACCATAAAGCATTGCACGTCGGGGCAGTCGGTGGTTGGGCATACGTAACACATGTCCCAGCTATCTAAACTGATGAAGTTTCACTACTTCATCAATCGATTTGCCATCCTTACCTAGTACCCGTTTCCTAACATCTGCATTACTTACCCCGGTGGTCCCAGGATATACGAGCAATGCGTCGAAGACACCTATGATCGAACACTAGTAGCCTACGAATATCCTCTACTCTTATCGGCCATGTTTCACTGCCATAAAGTAGGACGGAACGAACTGCTGCACAGTAAACCCGTCCTTTGGTTGGTAGACGGATATCTCGCCTACGCTATAAATGACGCAAGTTGGCGAAAGCTAGACGAGCCTTCTGTATCCGTGCTGAGATTTCGTCACACACCAGACCACAAGGGCTGATGAGACTCCCAAGAAAAGTGAGGCGGTCAACACGTTCAATTCTCTGTAAGAGAATCACAATAAATAGACGAAAGAGAAAAGCTGAAAAACAGTCTGTATTAGGCTTTACAAGTGTCCAAAAATAAAGGTAGACAACGTAAAACGTTTTAAGATATCATTCAGCCAGTCATAATCAGCATGGAACCTGACACAAATGTGTATTAACCATATCATACCACATTAGCACAATAAGTTATAGAAAATGGCTGGCAAAACGGTCGAAATAATAGTGATATCAATGATAGTTTGAAAGACTAGAAATGGAGAATATGGTTCGAAAAGACAAAAAGAAAAGACATATACGAAGGGATACTAGAACACACTAGAATATAGAGGAAGATAAAGAGTGAATGTACCTGAACTATTGTTATCTCTTAGAGTCATGTAACATATCTTCAACCACTGGCTGCGGTTACCATATGGACCTCAAACGATAAGGCTGTATCTGCCTATGCAACTAAAACCAACAGCCGATGATTACGTAAACAAATGCTACTTCTTAGTTTAGCGCCCCTTTCTTCTATACAAGCTAACATCTGCCGGGGAAGTAGGAAGTAGTAGGAGATATGTAAAACATATTCCAACCACCCTATTCAATGAAAATTCACAACTCAACCAACCAATTTTCTATATTCGCTTAGTGTGCAAAGGTTAATCACATTATTGCTCACCAAGTTGTTTTACGATATATCAGCAATGACTCAAAGACACCTATTAATTAATTTATTTATTTAAACACATAAATATTGGTACAAGGAAGCACCAGATACATATGCGCCGTAAAAATCTCATTTGATTTATGTGAGGGCTGTGATACTGCCCAGGTGCCCAAACCGAAACAGGTGGTTCTCCAAAGGGGCCACACCCGGAGCCTTTGACCTAAAGATCTGATCCACAAGGAAGTGGAGCATCGTAAAGTGTTGCACTCCAATGATTGATATATACACCATTTGTTACCTCAGGATACTGGAGCCAGCCCATGTGCACCATCGGTTTGGAATCAGGGTTTTCCAACTCCCCTAGGTGGACACTCCACGTCCACCAACCCGGTTAAAGCGCCGGACATTCGCTTTTCGTCCTCTCAGTTTCGTAAACAACATTAATGCCACGAGAAAGTAGTGAGTAGAACTTCCCTGTCAGTGGTTTGTATGCATCTGGCCACATGAGAGTATTTTGAGAGGGAGAGCGGACTCTCTCCATTCTTGGCCGTACCAGGGCATTCGGAGGCCAAAGACACCTATGATCCTAATCTAAAACTAATCTTCATTTATATAGATCCATGATTAATCTTTCAGTATGTACCAAAATATCTGCCATTTTAGGAAAAAAACAACAGAACCTCATAAAACTCTATAAATCATTGCATTTCCTTCTTTCACACGTACATTATACAGATTCAATTAAAAACTATGGTGACTAATCTCATATACCCCCCCCGAAAAACCCAAACACTAGAATCATAACTGTCACTAACCAGAAACTAATTAAAGAAAGCCAATACATTAATGATTTGAAATCGTAATAAAATATCCTAAAGTAATAACAATTAGTAATCAGGAAATTATAACCATCTTTATAATTTATCTGATAATTAGATCATCACACACACACAGTCATCAAAACAAAGTAATATATCACACACACACAGCAAAAAATACAATTGGAAGACCTGCGACAATACATCAAAGGGAGCAACAACAACAAAAATAAACAAGTATCTTAAATGGACATAAAAAAATGTGTCATCTAGCCGCGAAGAGAAAGGGAAAAGTATCCAACACAATTTATATATATATGCGCTGTCCGTTAGATTTATATATGTGACAACAATACCAATGTGTCTAATTAAGGATATACTTAGATTGGATAAGTTCAAATGTAAATAAATAACATTTTGTGTGAAATAAACTGATAAACAAATAAACAATGATAATCGGTTGCTTCAATTTGTTATTAGCTATGTCCATAGAATGATGATAAAATTGCTTATAAAGAAATATACTACTAATTATAATTAAAGTAGTTTGAAAAATAGTTAAAAAGTAAGTTAACAAACGGAATGTATTTTGTAATACAATGACCTCAGTTGAGGTATGATCGAAAACGAGACAGTAGTCAGCAACTATTTCACTCCATTGTGGGGCTCTTTGGTAGTGGACACCCCCAACCTCACAATGAAGTGAAACAGTTTTCACCAATGTCATAGGGTTATCACTCTGTCATATCATAAATTAGAGGGGGTTTTGTGGAGAATTTAGTATTTTCACAGTTGAAATCATGAGTCAATTGAAGCTAGACCACCATCGAAAACCTGGAAGCACTGGACGGCCGCTTCGTCCTATTATGGGACTCCTCAGCAGTGCGCATCCACGAACCCGCTCTCGCGAGCGAGATTCGAACCCAGGACCTACCAGTCTCGAGCCGAAGCCCTTAACCGATAGACCACTGAGCTGGCATCCAACGGTGTTAATGTCTAACTTCAACCAATCCACGATATTGAGCGACCGTTCACCAATTGTCCTCAGTGAGATGATATCTCTACAACAGACCTGGTAGAACTCCACTGGCCACTGCTTCCCACTAGAACTCAAGGAAATATCTCTTGAAGTCAGTCACTACCAGGTCTGTTGTAGAGATATCATCTCACTGAGGACAATTGGTGAACGGTCGCTCAATATCGTGGATTGGTTGAAGTTAGACATTAACACCGTTGGATGCCAGCTCAGTGGTCTATCGGTTAAGGGCTTCGGCTCGAGACTGGTAGGTCCTGGGTTCGAATCTCGCTCGCGAGAGCGGGTTCGTGGATGCGCACTGCTGAGGAGTCCCATAATAGGACGAAACGGCCGTCCAGTGCTTCCAGGTTTTCGATGGTGGTCTAGCTTCAATTGACTCATGATTTCAACTGTGAAAATATCATAAATTGACTGAAGTGGAAATCCTGCCATTAGGTGCCAATCCAGGGGTTTTAATAACTAATCATTCTAGATACCTGGAGATTCTGGTTTTGATCTGCGGTGGGGTTATGATTATGTGCTGCTACAGAGTTTCATAATACTAGGATGAAAAAGCCACCCAGAGCTCCCTGATTTCCAATAATATCTCAACTGAGATCAATTTGTGACAAATACAATATTTTTATTATTTATTTAAACACATAAATATTGGTACAAGAAGGCACCAGATATATATGCGCCTTACAGATTTCATTTGATTTATGTGTGGACTATGATAATGCCCGTGTGTCCAAACCGAAGCAGGTGGTTTTCGTAGGGGGCCACACTCGAAGCCTTTAACCTAAAGGCCTGATCCGCAAGGCAGTGGAGCATCGTAAGGAGATGCAGTCACATGGTAGCCGGTGATCAACCATTGATTCATATGCCATTTGTTCCTTCAGGATACTGGAGATTATGTGCACCACTGGTTTGGAATCAAAGTTTTCCAACTCCCCTAGGTGGACACTCCACGTCCACCAACTCGGTTAAAGCGCCGGACATTCGCTTTTCGTTCTCTCAATTTCGCAAACAACATTAATGCCACGAGAAGATAGTGAGTAGGACTTCCCTGTCAGTGGTTTGCATGCATCTGGCCACATGAGAGTATTTCGAGAGGAAGAGCGGACTCTACTCATTATCGGCCGTACCAGGGCATTTGTGACAAATACAACCTACAAATTAAAAACAGTCACCTTAAAAAAAACCATCATCATTAGAAATGAAAACTTACTGAAAGATAAAAATGAAGTGATCTACACTAGTACGATTAATACCATTTTCCAATATGATTCAGACCAATAGTCAATAAGTGCATGAAACGATAATAATACCTCCGTCTTGTCATCCTAAGCTTTCTTCCGACCGACTTTAATATGAACACCTTTGTATTTAAGAATGTGTGGCAGTGGTGTATAACACATTTCCCAGCCACTAAACTCGACGAAGTTAGATACTTTTATTGATTGATTTGCCCCACACACTTAACCTCATCAGTCTCTGAAGAATCCGAGACCAGATAAGTATTGACAGGAGAAATGATAGAACTATGAAATTTTCATCGATGAGATTATGACAAGCACCGTTCTACTCTGAATGTCTTTTACTGAAGTAACGATATATAAAGTTAAGCCTGTCTAATTGTTCGTCTGAAATAGTATTATTTTAATTGTTTATCAAACACCATTGGTTTGGAATCAGGGTTTTCCAACTCCCCTAAGTGGACTCGCCATGTCCACCAACCCGGTCAAAGCACCGGACATTCGCTTTTCGTCCTCTCAATTTCGTAAACAGCACCGGTGCCACGAGAAAGCAGTGAGTAGGACTTCCCTGTCAGAGGCTATATACGCATGGCCATGTGAGAGCATTTCGAAAGGGAGGGCGGACTCTCTCCACTCTCGGACGCACCAGGGCATTTGGGGGCAGTTAATAAGATAGTTTGTTAGTTATCACACTATAGACAATGAAAATTCACTACAATTATTCATTACCATCCAACGAATATAAAATCATAATTATGAATGAAAGAAAGTGGTTATATCACTCATTATATGCCAAAAAACGTTTACCACATTATTACCGTTTAGATACGACCTAGATGCCCCCAAATGCTCTAGTAGAGCCGAGGGTAGGGAGAGCCCGCTCTTCCTCTCGAAATGCTCTCATATGGCCACGCGTTTACAGTAACTGACAGGGAAGTCCTACTCACTGCCTTTTCGTGGCAGGGCTGTTCTTTACGAAATTCAGAGAACGAAAGGTAAGTGTCTGATGTTTTAACTGGGTTGGTGGATTCGGAAGGTCCACCTTGGGGAGTTGGAAAACACTGATTCCAAACCAATAGTTTACATGATCTCCATGATTCTGAAAGAACATATGGTGTATGAGCCTATTATTGGTCACAGGCTACCATTTGACTGCATCTGACGTCGCCCTACTGTCTTATGGGTCAGACCTTTAGGTTGAAGGCTTTGGGGTGTGGCCCCCTAACAAAACCGCCTGCTTCAGTTTGGGCAGCTGGGCAGTATCACAGCCCACTCACAAGTCAAGTGACTTGTGCATGTATTCGGTGCCTGCTAGGTTCAGCTAGGTTCGAACCCCGCCCCACTTACTTCGAGTTAGGTAACCGATAGTGTCAATAGCTCTCAAACGCACACAGAAAAACAGGTGTAGCCCAAAGCCGAGAACATAAAACCTGGTATTTGGTAAATGAGTTATAAAGACAGAATTTAATCTAAATTGATGCTAGAGGTATGAAGGTAGTTGTCACTTCCCGGTTCCCCACACTATGAAGGAATATTTCTTGTTGAGTGATCTGAAAGGAAAACTGGATTAGCAATGATCTTGTCGATCTAAGAGTGTGACTGCATAAACCGTAAGGAAACTCCTTGGAGCCGATCACACACAACCATCTTGTGAATTTCTAATGCGTTTACTCCGAACCTTAAACTCCTCACAGTTGGAGACGGAAATCTGTGGGGCAATGTGAGGTGTCCCATGTTTAGGAAAGACCTTTTGGTAGGAATTACAGGGAGATTTTCTACGCAAATCACCAGACTATCGTGAATAAAGTTTTAGCAAGGCTGTAATCGGAACTGGTAATCTGTATACAGACAATAACTTTCACCCGCTTCGACAATATAAATTGATTACAATCCTTACAACAGTATGGATCAGTGCAATAAGTTAGAAAAGGGAGAATAATTAATCACAAGTGCTGAACAATAATTAAGAACACAAACAAAATACGTTAACAGAAGTTTAGTCATGTTTATAAGAAGGGGTACCATCTTGTGACTGGTGGATGAACAAAATACAGTTACTCTGAAATCAGACTGAATATAAGTAGTTGGTATTTACCTAAATATTATTGGTAAATTCATTATTAACACTTTTCCAACCCTCTGCTTTCGTTAAAGGAAAGTAGTTTCAACCGAGGCGTTGGATGTCTGATGGAAATGTCTTACTGAGGTCACACTCCAAGTACAGTCAGTAGTACGAATTCGCAATTGAATCATGAGTTTATTGCTTTTATTCTTACCGTTCTTCAACCAATTTTTTGTGGCATGGTAGGACCTAAAGGAACGAGTGTTCCAGTTATTATTATTATTATTATTATTATTATTATTATTATTTAAACACATAAATATTGGTACAAGGAAGCAAAAGATACATATGCGACGCACAAATTTCATTTGATTTGTGTGAGGGCTGTGATACTGCCGAGGTACCCAAACTAAAGCAGGTGGTTTTCTTACGGGGCCACACACGCAGCCTTTGATCTAAAGATCTGATCCACAAGGCAGTGGAGCATCGTAAGGAGTTGCAGTCCCATGGTAGTCGGTGACCAACGATTGATTCATACTCCATTCGTTCCCTGAGGATTGTGGAGCTCATATGCACCATTGGTTTGGAATCAGGGTTTTCCAACTCCCCTAGGTGGACACTCCACACCTAACAACCCGGTTACAGTGTCAGACATTCGCTTTCGTCCTCTCAATTTCGTAAACAACACCCCCCGCTACGAGAGGGCAGTGAGTAGGACTTCCCTGTCAAAGGCTATATACGCGTGGCCATATGAGAGCATTTCGAGAGGGAGGGCGGACTCTCCCCACTCTTGGCCGTACCAGGACATTTTAGGTTAATAGAGCTCTACTGAACCATCACAATATCCAAACCAAACTATCAACTTAACATAGTAGATACAGTCAGGAATCGAGTTATGAAAAACAGATCATAATAAAAGAATATTCTCATAAAAAGAAACGGATTTAAAACAAACCTCGGATGTAACTTTCACTATTTGTGCTTTTAATGATTTTGGTAATTTAGCAATTAATGAAGGAAATAACCATACAGGATCGTTATCATCTAATTCAATGATTGGTAAATCATTAATTAAATGTCCAATTGAACTTTCTTGAAAATTCATATAGTTACTATTATTATTATTACTGTTACTATTACTTGTTGCTGTGGCAGTAGTAGTACTAGTATTAGTTGCCATGGCAATAGTATGATTATGATTATTATTCAAATCAAACCAATTCATAATTTGTGATTGAAAACCATGTACAATAGATTGTGCTAAATAACCTAATACTTCAGTTTGTTGTGAAAATGATATTTGTGCATATAATAATTGAAATTCAATTTGTGTACATTTTAATGTCCATATATTTAAATGATGTAATATATGACACATAGCACCAGATAAACCATCATTAGTTAATGCAATATCAATCCATTTAATATCATATGGCCAATAAATAATATGTAATAAACGTCTTGCTTGACTTTGTGTAAAATTTTTATCGATTAATACATTTTCCCGAATTAATTGATTCGGTGTCATTTGATAAAAACGTTCACGTACCCATGATACTGTACATATTTCACGTAATACTAATTGGGTTAATGCATTTAACGGTAATGAATGTAATTCTATAGTGGTTGGGATAATATCTTGTTCAAGAAATCTTTGTATTATAGAATGTACTTTTGTTGTGGATTTACGATGAATTGAACGACGACGATGATGATTATGACGAGATTTAAAACGTTTGGATTTATCTTTCTGATGGTGTTGTAATGTTGTACGAGTACGTTTACGATTTGTATTACGTAATATTGAATGATCACCTTCTGAATCAATATCGGTTAAATCATCAATATGATTATCTTGTCCACCACCACCACCATCATTATTGTCATCATTTTCATCATCATCATGTTGTTCTTCATCCTCATCACCACCCCCATCATCATCATCATCTTGATTACCATCACTATCTTCATTATTATCATTTCCTACACTAGTATTCGTCTCATCTATGACATCTTCTTGTTGATTATCAACAGATGCTTTATCACTATGTACAATAAGCATTTTTAATACATCAACAAGAAATTCTGAAGTAACTTTTTGTAATGCAGCAGTTAATAATAATGGTTCTGAAATACGAAATGGTGGAGATGATAAGTTATCAGATATACTACTACTAACAGTAGTATTAGTAGTAGTATTGGTAGTAGTATTAGTAGTAGTATTTGATAAATTGACATCAGGATTAGGTGTTAATACATTTGATGTAGTTTGTAATGAACTAATTGTTGATTCAGCCGTAAATAAACAATGTAATATATGACATGCTAAAGAGATAATAGATTCTAATTGTGAATTAACTGGTTGTGTTATATTATCTAAACCTTGTGCCATTGCTGGACATATAACTAAACGTAAAAAATCGGATATAGTAAAACAATAACGTGATAATAATGTACCAATTAATGAACTTAAATTATCATATATACAGAGTTGACTTAGATCAATTGTATTGATTAACGGACTATAACCATGGATATATGAATGTGGTGCTAAAATAGCATAGAATGCACCAAGCCATTCACAAGTTAATTCACTACATTGACATGTTAATTCAGCGCATAGACCACATAAATAATTAACTTGTTCAATAGTTTTCGCTTGACATATCCATAGAATAGCTTTACATACAAAACTATAACGTGAATCTGGTTTATTACGTAAATCTTCAGCATATGCACGAAATGATGTCACATTATCCATCGACGAGGATGTCGATGATGTCATTAGATCATTAGCATAATCTGGATCAAATTGTCTTATACCTTCACTTGGATCAATACGACGTAATAATGCATTCACCTTTTGATGAGCTTTACCATAAATTGGTGTAAAACGTGTTTTAATCACTATATTAGATGTAAATAAATCATTTAAATAAATTAATATACAACGTTCTAATGGTCCACATTGTGTAGGTTCTTTCACTTGTCTTACTTGTTCTATTAAAATAGGGAATAGACGACTTGATAAATCACCCATTGTAAATAGAATATTTTGATAACGTTGTAAGATACCAACTGTACGAAGACATAAGGATGACATATATAATGTCATAAAATGAGTACGATTTTCAAATAAGATCTTTAAACGTTCCAATGTATCAATGACAGTAAATATTAATGATGTAATATTTAATGAAGTTTCAATCAATTCAAAAAATAAAAAAATTGAACTTGGCACAGGCATATAAATATGAGATTGAACATTCGACGTCGATATCGACAACGGATTACTGTTGTTAGAATTAGTCGTAGTCGTAGTACTTGGAGGATTAGCTGACGATGACGATGATGTTGATAATGGTGAATTAGTATTCATGGATGTGATATTTGTGGTATTCGTATTATTATCTTCATTGGATGGATTAATAGTTGAATGAAAATTGGAACCATTCAACATTTTAACAAATACTGGTGTACATTGAGATAATACATATTCCATATCATAAAATGATAAATTTATAAAACGTTTTGTTATATCTTCATGAATTTCATCAATGGATCGTGTTTCATCATTATTACTGTTATTATTACTACCATTACGATGACTAGATCCATTTCCTCCAACACCACCACTACCGCTATTAGGTGTTCCTGTTCCAGTGGATTGTCCAACGAATGATCCTAATCCAAGATTACTATTATTAGTAGTATTATTGTTATTGACGTCTTTATCACGTTCTCGATCTTTACTCTTTTTACGTCGACCAAGTTCCCCATGAAATACATCGATTAAATAGATCTTTTTGGTAAATAATTTACATATATCACGTATTAATTTACGAATAGGATATCTTGCACGATCTCTTGAACGTACTGAACCATATAATAATTGAAAACGTTGATTTTGTTCATGTGTATAGCATTCATCCTGAGGTATAGGAAATTGTATTAAATAATGTAAATGACGATTTGAATAAGTAGTAACTTGATCATTTGATGTTGATGATGATGAAAGTGATGGATGATTGATGAGTTGAGTATTATTTGATTGTAATGATATTAAATTAATACAACCAGATTCTGAACGTACAGAATCTGGATTATCTACACTAGAACGATCCATATCTTCAGAGAATTCAGATTTAACAGAATGTTGAGCTGTTGTTATTTGTGAATGACATATAGTTGATGCCATTATATTGGTACCACCGGTAGTACTAGCAGTAGTAGTAGTAGTAGTACGTGTTATATTGGTTGGTGTATTAACAGATTGGTTAATAGTATTACTATTATTAATAGACAATGGATTAGTATTCATCTTATTTGGTATAGTATGATCTATCACAGCTAATGGATGTAAACTTGTATCGAATACACCACGAGCAATAAAATATCTTACATAATAATCATGATCAAATACTTCACGATCAATTAATTCAGAGAATAAACAAACTAAATTACGCATAAAATGATTATCAATTAGCGATTGTTCACCATTGAATGGTGGTAATTGTATAGTACAATTATCTAAAAATTTTATTAATGTTTCTTGTAAAGATTGATAGGCTTGACTATTCATTATATTGATATTGTTAGTAGTATTAGTAGTAGTAGTAGTATGTTTCACGCTAGTGTTAGTAGTATTGGTGGTGGTGGTAGTAGTAGTAATAGTGGTAGTAACTGCTGTCATTGTTGCTGTCATACCGTTAACATTACTTCCAGTAGTTGAAATTGGAGTCGTTGATAATGATATTGTATCTTTGTTACTGATATTACTACTGTTAATAGTACTATCTCCATAAAATGTATTCTTTAATTGTTCTAAAAGGCATGCAACTATAATGGATCGATAAATTCCAATACGATATGGTGATACAGCCCATTCACATAATGTTATTACAATAATAGATGTATCTACATGAATTGTATCATCATTAAATATACGATTATATAAAGATTCCATTGGATTTGGTTCACGAACTAAATGATATTCATGACGATCTAAAATATCAAGTAGACGAACAAGACGTTCAATCTAGAAAGAAAGAAAGAAAGAAAGAATGGTAAAGAACAGATATGATTAACATGAAAAATTTTAAACATAACTTGATTAGATGGATGTTTTAAGAAAGATGAGGCATTTTTGGAACTGATATACGGCAGTTTTTTTATTTAAACACATAAATATTGGTACAAGGAAACTCCAGATACATATGTGCCGCAAAAATCTCATTTGATTTACGTGAGTGCTATGATACTGCTCAGGTGTCCAAACTGAAACAGGTAGTTTTCTTAGGGGGCCACACCCGGAGCCTTTGACCTAAAGATCTGATCCACAAGGCAGTAGAGCATCGTGAGGAGATGCAGTCTCATGGTAGCCGGTGACCAACAATTGGTTCATACGCCATTTGTTCCCTCAGGATACTGTAGCCGATGTGCACCATTGGTTTGGAATCAGGGTTTTCCAACTCCCCTAGGTGAACTTTCTGTGTCCACCAACCTGGTTAAAGCGCCGGACATTCGCTTTTCGTTCTCTCAATTTCGTAAACAACAATAATGCCACGAGAAGGCAGTGAGTAGGACTTCCCTGGCAGAGACTATATATTCGCGTGGCCATGTGAGAGCATTTCGAGAGGGAGAGTGAACTCTCCCCACTCTCAGCCGTACCAGGGCATTTGGGGGCATCTTTCTATGAGCTACTAAGTTATAATACGTTTATCATCTAGCTGCATTCTCCTTCTGATTGGCTATTAAGGATAAAAAGAACTCCTTATACCGATAGGATAAAGGATTTCCTGGTAGTTCTTATCGCTCAAACATGTTATTAATCAGGTGAAGGTCATTGGTCTGATGTGGTATGGCAACTCGAACTGATGTATGTACGTACGAAGTTCTACGTTTCGACTGACTGACTGACTGACTGACTGACTGACTGACTGACTGACTGACTGACTGACTGACTGACATTGGTCTGATAACTGTTAAGCGAATTTGTGATTGGCGGAACACATAATCTCATAACTTGATAAAGTGAATATATAAAGTGATGAGTGTTATAAAAATTATGCTAGGTAATCTGATGAATTTTGGTGACAATAAATACATTTTTTTAAGACTAGAACAGTATTTGATTTAGAGTAGAATATAAATTAAGAGTCTTACCACATCATTCGTATCTATTGTGGGAGTATTTAATGAGGATTAAATTCAATATTCATTGCTTCTAAAACAAACATAGCACCCATCAATTGGCTACTTATAGAATCCAATAGTTACATGGTGTTTTGTCAGTAATTTGTCATTTATTTGTCCGTTGGAGGGATATATAACCGGATAGGTTAATCACTGCCTGCTTGTGAGTCTTTCGTACTCAGAAAGAGTGTTGAACACCCAGTTCGTGTGTTTGGAGTAACAGCGAAACACGAGGAAATATAAATTCAGTTAACATGTACACTGCCCCCGAATGCCCTGGTACGGCCAAAAGTGGGGAGAGTCCGCTCTCCCTCTCCAAATGCTTTCACATGGCCTCGCGTATATAGCCTCTGCCACACAAGTCCTACTCACTGCCTTCTCGTGGCATTATTGTTGTTTACGAAATTGAGAGAACGAAAAGCGAATGTCCGACGCTTTAACCGGGCCGGTGGAGAAGGAGAGTCAACCTAAGGGAGTTACAAAACCCTGATTTCAAACCAATGGTGCATATGGGCTTCAGTATCCTGAGGGAACAAATGGCGTATGAACCAATCGTTGGTCACAGCTACCATGAGACTGCATCTCCTTACGAAGCTCCACTGCCTTGTGGATCAGGTCTTTAAGTCAAAGGCTCCGGGTGTGGCCCCCTAAGAAAACCACCTGCTTCGGTCTGGGCACCCGGGCAGTATCACGGCCCTCACACAAATAAATGAAATGATGATTTCTACTGACAATCCTATTCACGCTTTTACTAAATGCCAGACAATTTACATTACTATTATTATTGTTATTATTATTATGTTTGTGTTAAAATAATTATTAATATCGCGGGTATTTCTTTTCTTGTAAACTTAAGCGGTCAGCGATAGCAACCAGTCAGATGACAATAAGTCCGGCTCCAAAACTCTAGCTAGTGTTTCAGTCAGATCAGCAGCTGAAAGTTGACCACCACTCCTAACCGTCTATAACGTCAGTCCATCAAGGTTGTGCTGATGTGGTACGGGAACTTGGGCTAGCACACATTTATAGCAGGTTCTACTGTGATTACGACTGCCTGGTTTTGTGTCAGTCAGTCAGTCAGTCACAACGTAGGACCAGGCACATATATGCAACGGTCCAAGTTGCCATACCTCGTCAGCACAACAAGACCGGATTCATAAAAGTAATTAATTTAGTGGTGGTAGTATATCAAGAAAGGTTGTATATAAGGATATAGTACAGGAAGGAAGAGAGATATGAAGCAATTTTAATCTCAAGGTTTAAGGGAAGATAAAGAGTGTATACACCTACGCCATTGTGATTGATTCTGAGCCATGTCACCTAGAGTCTCCAACCATTGGTTACGATAGTCATGCGGACCCCAACCAGGTAGTCTGCATCTGCCAACATGGCTCAAACTAGAAGTTAGTGACTTCAAACACTGATGCCATGTTTTGGTTTGGCCACCCCTAACTCTCTTCCAACCGTCCCTAATATTAGTCAGCATAGCGTGTCGTGATAACCAATGTTTAAGCATACGTAACACGTGGCCCAACCATTTCAGTCGATAAAGATTCATCACTTCATCAACTTGTTTACCATCATTCCCTAATACCCTGCTTCTAACCTCACTATTACTTACCCGGTTATACCAGCAGATGCGAGCAATATTTCTAAGGCATCTGTGGTAAAATACTAGTAACCTACGAGTATCTTCTAATCTTAATGACCATGTTTCACAGCCGTAAAGTAGAACAGAGCGAACTGCTGCGCAGTATACTCGTCCCTTAATTGATAGACGGATATCTCGTCTACGCCATAGGTGACGTAAGTTGGCAAAAGCCAAACGAGCTTTTTGAATCCGTGCTGAGATTTCGTCCGACACCAACCCATTAGGGCTGATCAGACTTCCAAGATAAGTGAAGTTGTCGACGCGTTCGACTACTTCACTCCCTATCCTTAGTTCGGGTGTTGACGCAGGCCAGTCCTGGAGTAACAATTTACATTTGGATGGGGAGAAACGCATCCCAAACATCCTGGCATTATTACTGAGTTCCAACAGAAGACTCTGCATTTTGCCAGCGTCTTCACCAAACAGGACTATGTCATCTGCGTATTCTAAGTCGATAAGTGAATCTCCTGGTAGAAGATCAATTCCTGAAAATTCAGTCGAAGAGAGTGTTATTTCCAGCAACAGGTTTATAATAAAGTTTAACAAAAATGGGGATAGTGGACAGCCTTGACGGACACCACTTGAGGTTGTAAAATCATATGACAGTTCGCCATAAGCTCTCACTCGACTGGTAGTGTTCGAGTAAAGAGCCTTCAAAAGGTTTATGTACTTCTCAGGTACACCTTTCAATGACAGACACTGCCACAGAACCTCTCGGTCTACAGAGTCAAATGCTACTTTCAAGTCAAGAAAAACTATCATTGTCAGACGCCGATAAGCGTGTCTGTGTTCTGAAACTTGACGAATGGTGAATATGTGGTCGATACAGCCACGACCAGGTCTGAAGCCAGCCTGATTTTCTCGTGTTTGTAGTTCACGAGTCTTAGTTAGGCGCCCGATAATTATTGAGGCTAGTATTTTAGATGCTATGTTAGTCAGACTAATCCCTCTATGGTTATCGCAGGATGATTTTGACCCCTTCTTATATATTGGGACAATCAGCGATTGTGACCAGTCGGATGGGATTACATCCGTCTCCCAGATTTTAGCCAGAATATTAGTCAACCTAATCGCTAAAATTGGACCACCATATTTAAAGTCCTCTGGAACCAATCCATCAGGACCAGCTGTTCTTCCTCGTTTCAGATTACCTATAGCCTTTTGAACTTCAAGTAGTGTCGGGGGACCTACTTCAATGTTCCACTCAGGTTTTCTGGGAATAGTGGGTAGTTGTGAAGTAGCTGAAGGCCAGCTAAACTGCTCCTTAAAGTGTTCCGCCCATCGTTCTAAACGTTTAGGTTGAGAGCAGATAAGGATTCCGTCTTTTTCCGAGATTGTCTCACTTACATTTGACTTCTTAATTCCGGTTTCTTTTATTAGTCTGAATAGTTGCCTGGTGTTGCCTACAGCCGCTGTCTTTTCCATCTCTTTTGCTTTCGTTGCCCACCACTGCTCACGATCGTTCCTTAGACTTTTAGTTAATCTAGATCTAATTTGTTTACGCTCTTCGTCATGTTCAGAGCCTGATGGGATGAGTTTACGCGAATCCATCAGTGAAATAGACTTAGAGGAAATCCACTGGTTTTTTGGAGCCCTATGGTTTAAATGACTAATAGATGTTACTGCTGTTTCCACAGCTGTTCGTATGTCTGTCCAAGCAGTATCTGGGTCAGTCTTGTTTACAGAACTGCCTAGATGTGAACTCAGTTGTTTCTGGAATTCGCATTTGGCTTTCTCGTCCTCCAGTTCAATCCTAATGGGTCTTCTTAGTGTACTTTTCCTGCGTCCATTGAGGCGCAGACAAATGCGCGCTCGTATTAAAGCGTGATCAGAGTCTAAACAACTATTCCAATACGAGCGACAATCTTCTATTGAGCCTCTCCAACGATGACTGATGGCAATATGGTCTATTTGAGTCCATCGTTGGTTTGGTGCAGGTGGTCGCCATGTTAGACCATGTCTCTCCTTATGCTTAAAATTAGTTTTTGCTAGAAATAGACGATTGTCTCAGCATAGTTGCAACAGACGATCACCATTATCGGTTCGTTGAGCCGGAATACTAAAACACCCACCTAAATGTCTTTCTGTTTGATTTAAGCTGCCTACCTGGGCATTAAAGTCACCCGCTACGACTACTATGTCTGAGCGCTTAGCTTTCTGAAGAAGCTCAGAGAGCTTTCTGTAAAAGTCATCTTTCACTTCATCATGGCTGCAGTCAGTGGGAGCGTAGGCAGAAACGACGAAAAGGCAACGACATGTGTCCCTATCCTTCCGAGTTCTTACGGAACCATTTAGCCGGACAGCACACAGGCGACTGTTAACGAGGATCCATTCTAGTAGTGCCTGTTCTGCCCTTGTACTTAGTGCTATGCCTACACCTGCAAGTCCGCGAGAACTAGCCAACGGGTCGCCAGATACACGGAGGGTGTATTTCGTCGGCTGTCTATTTTGGCGAGGTGAGATCAAGTGAATGACCACACTGGGATCCTGTATGCGTGTTTCGGAGACACAGCATACAGCAATGGTACGAGATTCTAAAGTTTTAGCTAAGGAGGCCTGTTGACCGATTTGGCATAGGGTACGTACGTCGAAGGCTCCAATGTGTAGTTTGGAGCGAGGTTTTAATAGACCTGAGACAGCGTTTCGCGCACTAGAATCGTTGGCCATGGTGACACTTGAGGAGGAAACCGAGAGAGGAAGTTTAGTGTTGAAAGTCAAGGTAGAAGGAATTGAAGAAGGAGATTGATTATGAATACAGTGGTCTTGAGTGTTGTTAGAGGTATGAGGGCAGTTATCACTTCCCGGCTGCCCACACCGTGGAAGGGTTTTTCTAGAGGTACCTGAAAAGGAAATTGGGTTAGAAGTAGTCTTAATGACCTGAGAGCGTGATCGCAGTGCCCAAGGGACAACTGCTTGAGGTCGGTCACACACGACCTTTTTGTGGGTAGTTTTTGTGTTAGCTCCGTTCTTCAAAAAAGCCTTACCGCCGGAGACGGATATCCGTGGGATAAGGCGAGGTGTGCATTTTTAGGGTCAACCTTTTCTAACCCCACCCTTCCTTGTGGGAAGGCAGCATCGCTGTCGTGCTGCTTGTCTGAAGGAAACACCTTACTGCTGTCACACCTCTGTACAGTCAACAGTACGACTTCGCCTTCGGACCTTGGGTTTGCTGCTTTTAGTCTCACCGCTCTTCAACCGACCTGTCTGGCATGGTAGGACCTTGAGGAACGATTTTTCCAGCCAGTATAGCTCGATTGCTTCATCACAATAGGCAATCCCGACCACCACTTCAAGGTAGCAGCAACGGCCGGGTTTTGTGTAACGAAAGAAGTCTCAGTAGTAACACAAAAGCGGTAACGCAGCCTGTATTTTATTCTTAGACCCACTAAAAAGTACCACTATCCCTTTTCAAACACTGTACTTGTCTAGCAGACCAGATGAATATATTTCTAGACAGAAGGGGTTCCCGCCTCATAAAGTTTGCCAAAAACTGATCACGTAGGGAAACTATGACCTACTTGAAAAAAACCATCCACTAAATACAAGTTTATGTGTTCGGCTTCCAGAAAAACAATTTGTATAAGGATTAATGTTACTATCCGGATGTCCAAACTAAAGTAAGTGAAGTGAACATTAACTGGTGACATACTGACTGAAAGTTATGCTTCATACACTAAGCTACTGCTCTACTGTTCACCCTTATAATAGTATAGCTTCCTTACCTACACTGTATCTTCCAATAAATGTCATTTTCGGCCTTTCTCCTTTTTCCACAGTATTGTAACTACATTTTGTACAGAGTATTTTTGGATTAACAAAACGTAAATAATTTTGTAAAGTTACATGCACCAATAAAAATCAAATAACATTGCATGCCTTAGTGAAAGAATTGTTACAATGAGCGTTTACTGAATTAAAAACAATAAGAGCTTGCTTCAACATTTATTTAGTTGTGAGTAAATAGGAAGAGTTTAAAATAAAGGAACATACACTTTCAGTCTAATCCATGCAGAGCCAAACAAAAATAACTGTGGAATGTTGTTTTCGTTAAATGAAAGGGTGCAATTAGCATGATTTACAAGCTTTGAAAACACTTCAGCATAGATAAAACAGTACAAAACTAAGTTACAGAATCAAACTTCAGTCATCTAAGCGGATATGGATTCGAATTACTGTTACACTGACAGTGATGAAAGTTATTAGCCATTGTGTAAATGCATCTGATTTAGCCAGTCGTATATACTAGATGTTAGATATTAATATATTTGAACCCTATTCTTCTTGTCTTAACTTTATATTCTAGCTCATTCTACTATGGTGTTTATTTATTTATTTATCTAAACACATAAATATTGGTACAAGGAAGCACCAGATAAATATGCGCCTCACAAATCTCATCCGATTTGTGTGAGGGCTGAGATACTTCCCAGGTTCCCAAACTGAAGCAGGTAGTTTTCTTAGGGGGCCACACCCGGAGCCTTTGACCCAAAGATCTGATCCACAAGGCAGTAGAGCATCGTGAGGAGATGCAGTCCCATGGTAGCCGTTCACCAACGATTGATTCATACACCACTTGTCCCCTCAGGATACTGGAGCCCATATGCACCATTGGTTTGGAATCAGGGTTTTCCAACTCCCCTAGGTGGACTCGCCTTGTCCACCAACCCGGTTAAAGCGTCGGACATTCGCTTTTCGTCCTCTCAATTTCGTCAGTCAGTCACAACGTAGAACTTCGTACGTACGTACATCAGTTCGAGTTGCCATACCACATTAGCACAGAGATGCAGTTGTCGATTCAAATCCCATAGTGGTAGAAGTAGTAGGAGTATAATCAGAAATCCAAAAGATTAGGGTTTTAAGAAATTATTGAAGGAGTATAGTACAGTGAAATAAATTTGGAAAGAGAAAAAGATAAAGACATGAGCAATTCAGAAGATTAGAATTTGGTAGAACACAAAGAGTGGATGCACCTTCGCCACTGCAAACGATTTTGAGCCATGTCATTCAAGGTCTCTAACCATCGGTTGCTGTCATCTCGCGAATCCCAACCAGGTAGTCTAGTCTCAATTTCGTAAACAACAGCAATGCCACGAGAAGGCAGTGAGTAGGACTTCCCTAGTAGAGGCTATATATTCGCTGGCCATGTGAGAGCATTTGGAGAGGGAGAGCGGACTCTCCCCACTCTCGACCGTACCAGGGCATTTGGGGGCTCTACTATGGTGTGGATGTATACAATTACAATAACGAGGTGCTGGGTTTTATCAATGATGGTATACGATTTAGAGCGACGTTAGGTTCCCATTTAAAAAAGGAATTTAGAGCCAGGCACATGTATACATCTACTATGGTGTGGATGTATACATGTGCCTGGCTCTAAATTCCTTTTTTAAATGGGAACCTAATATCGCTCTAAATCGTATACCATCATTGGTAAAACCCAGCACCTCGTTATAGTAGTGAGAATGGTTATGTTTCTCATAAGTCACATACATATGCCTTAAGCGTGATGCGATATGAACCAGTTGTTCTTGAGTTGTAATTGTATTAAAAAACGTAGAAATAACGATAAAACACGAAATCGTAAACATGCCTATAATCCACGAATAAACTTTATTTTATATTACGGAATAACTTAAATGTAGTAACACCTAATAAGCAATAACACGGATTTTATTGCATTTATTTTAACAATATAAAATAAGAAGTACTTACGTTTTCGCCGTTATTTCCTGAACATGGTTCAATCAGCCAACCAGATTCAACGAGCTGACTACGTCTTATTATGTCCTCCTCAACTTCGGACAAGCACTTGCGTATTGACGTTGATTCTTCTCCAGGCGGTAGAGGAAGTGTAACTAATGAGTGTGGAATATGATCAAGAGGTGATCCTTTAAAATAAGCGTAATCAGTATCAAAAGGTAGTGGATTCCACACTGCAGCTGAGGGACAGCTTAATACAATGAAGATAATTAAACTACTCAATGACATAGAAATATTTTGATGTAGAGGACACGTGCATAAATCCTTATACTCATTTAAGATACCTTGTAATGTACCAACTGAAGGAGCATATTTAGGTCCAGTACAAGCAAATACGACATCCGCAAACGTAGTGCAACACCAGTAAAGTAGCCTGCGAATTAACAATTCACTCTCAGTAAAACGACGTCCAAATTTAATGAGGTAATGCAAAATAAACTTCAGAGGGAAATCAGAAGCGCATTTGCTAGTAAGTGCTGAACGATTTGAAGGTGATAAATCAAGTGTTGATGGTGACGATTTCCCACAAATTTGTTCATTAACACTTTCTGCGACTTTAATTAGCCAAATTATGACTTCCCAGTGGTCTGCCATATCCGAATCATACATAGCCAAAAGCAGAGAAAAAAGATAATCCCAATCATTAAAGAGTGATACGAGTTCATTATGCTTAACGGGTGCATAAATTGGCTCCAATGAACGCGAAAGCAAACGGCAGAGCGTAGATGACCAGTCGGCAGTAGGATCCTGAGGTGCTCTAGGCTTTTTCTTTGCAGTTTCAGCAACTGCTGTTGACTGGATGACGCTTATATTAATAAACCATAATGCTCGAGTTATAGGAACTTTGTTGGAAAGCAACTCATGTAAAATTTCCTCTTTATCCTTGAAAAAAGGCACGCGACGTCCAAGGTTTTGAAGTGGGACGTTGCTAGAAAGCTCTCTAAACCAATCGGAAACCTGTTCTTTGTACATATCAATAGCCGGAATTACAGTATCACGAATATTAGTGGTTTGACGCTTCTTAAAATCTTGGAAGTTAGAGCACTCATACTTCTTTAACATAACATTATAATAAAAGTTCCAAACAGCGTCTGAATTCAGAAACCGACTTTCCTCCTTACATGATTCATATTCATCACGTACTGGTTTTGTGTATTTAAAACCGTCTTTTACGAAATCCTCGCACATCAAATCTTCTTTTTGCTCACTCCTTTGACAATAAACATCTGGAGGATAGTGTTCTTTTCTTTTTAGTGATCGATATTCCAGTGATGGAAAACTACTCATCTCAGTGTAGTCAGTAAACACTGACCTCAAAATACCCGCACCCAACAGTAACAATACAATTGAAAAGCCGCAGTTATACACGTTTCATAAGACCATCAAACTTCCAGCTTCTTCCAGCAGAAAAAGTAGACTAAAGGGTCCAAAAGTTTTGTGGTGTCTTGCTGATAGTGGGAATTTACTAAAAGTACACTACAGTAATCAAGAGAGACCATAGTATGCCTCAAAGTTATGTAACTAATTTGTTAATACTTCATGTATGATTGCTGTTGACCCATATAGTCTGTCTTTATCAAGATATATTACATTACAGCTGGCACTTTCGAGTTTCATCTTGATCGTTTTCGTTTTTTGTGTACCTCGCGTAGAAAAAATTAATAATTAGTTCCCCTGTAACTGCCCTCTCAGCAAACACAACTTCCTATGTTTTATGTATTTTAACACAAACCCATTGTCCATCTGTACTAGCTGGCAATTCTCAATAGAAAAAAATATCCAGTGGCTTCCTAGACTCCTAAAAAGCATTTGAAGCGGAGTTGACTAACTCAAAGATGTCACAGATATTCGGGTTTCACAACGCTTTTGTCTGTAACATCTTTATCATCGAAAGATACAAACCCAGCCAAACCAGAAGGCAGAGGAAAATAAGTTATAAGATGTATCTGGAAGGCTGTCAATATTTTGAGAAGTGTTTAATCCAAGCCAGGTAATAGTTGAAGGATGAGTTGCATCGCGTACTTCTCGTGAGGATGCGTGACCGATAGCCCTCAACTAGGGTGTGCAGTGAATCTAATGAGGTCAGCATCAATCTCGAAGTTCTACAGACCTATTTATTTTTGGGATTTATTTACCGCTACAGCTCATCCCCGCCTTAGCGGATTAGTGATGGTCCCAGGACGTGACCAGCTGGAATTTTAATTTCAGAGAGCTTGCTAATGGCAAACACTTTTGTAACAGATCGCTATGTCTAGCATCACCTGGTTTTCTCACCTTAATATGAGGAGCCGTGTGGTGCAACAGGACAATAAAAAGTTATGATGAAAATTTCGATTCATCGTCAACTTTGTCAGTTTTTAATCTTTCGCAGTCGTCTTGGAAAAGAAATGAATGCAAGTTTAAGTGCATGGTAAAATACACCTGTAATTACGAAAGAAAGATAAGCGCGTGAGAAAACCTGGTATATATGGTATATGTACCATACCACAGCGTGCAAAATTGCTACTCCAAAAGGTTTTTATAGACTACTTTTATAAAAACAAATGGTATATATATATAAGCATGTCGGGAAAACTGACTTTTTTGACGCGATAGTATAAAAAGACTGAGAACGCAGTTGAACTGTTGTGGGACAGGAAAAGCTAGACTAAACAAAACTTGTTCAGTGTTCTACGTGTAGTAATCTTTCTTGTTCTGAAGACCTTACCGTTCTTTCAGGGCGCGTTCTTTTGGGCCGGTTTTCGGATTCCAGAGAAGATTTGTCGTGGTTGTTAATTATCAGGAGTTGGATCATAGTAGTGAGGCTTTTATCGTACGCTCTTTCGGGAGTAAAGTCCAAATAATATGTGTTTCTTTTTAAGTAAGTGACTTAAGATGGTTGGTGCTAATTTTGTAGTCAGTTCCGTTTTTATTGACAGTGTAGTATGTATTGTCGGTTGATATGTTAAGTCCATATACCTTATTATAGCTTCTGGACAAACCAATTTACCTACTCATCATGAGTAACGTTTTCACCTTGTTAATTATTTACATATTAACCCTGACTATTTTTTCATTTGAGCGTATGTGTTTACACTTTTTATCTTATTCATCACATGTCTGTAACTTATTTCTGTCTGACGATAAATAGCGAATAACGCTTGATTAAAGCGAGTTGGCTTACCTGCCATCTTCGATGCGTGTCACTTTCGCTTTGCTCGCTTCTATTCTCTCTGATTTCCTGTACAGATCAATAAGTGTTCAAAAAATATACATTCAAAATCCACTCTAGTATTTGAGTTATCTAACTCGGTTATTCATCGACGCTGATTAAGTCGTGTATTACATACGAGAATAACCAGGATGCATATTTTAACCATCAACCATTGATACGATCTCATTGGAGTCAGATCCTAACTCACCACAAAAATGGTGAGCCGCATTTGGAACACGCACCATTTCTTCGTAAAATGTATATAGGTTTGCGATCAAGGGCTTTGAAGGGTCCTCTCATCCAGTTTCCAAGGCCCGTCGTCATAAATCACGATATATAAAAACATGCGTACTATGTCGCAACGCAAGTTAAACGAAAACATCCGTTGACTGAGGTCGTGTAAGGACAAGTTTAGCCGAACGCTTGACTACTGCAAGCATGCTCGTGTAGGAATTTGCATTCAGATTGGTTGGAGAAGATGGGCGAACCAGAAATTCTCCCTGGAGTTGTGGTACAGAGTACCCAATGTTAGCTGTCACTGTATTGCCAGTGCCCAGTAACATGAATATAAGAGCGTTAGTCCACTTAAATATGTCTTCAGCAAACAGTGAAGCTTTCAACTATTAGTGAAATCGTTCTACTAACCCATTAGCTTGTGACTGGTAAGCGATTATCCGGAATCGTGTGATTCCTAAAAGTATAGTAAGACAACGAAAATTTCCAGATTCGGACTAGCATCCAGAGTCCGTAGTAATAGTTTAAGGACAGACGAAGTTTTCCACTCGTCGTTTGACGACGACCACTGTCTCAGAAGTGATGTCTTTGATGGGTAATACTTTTGCCATCGTTTGATGCGGTTCACAAACGTTAAGAGATACGAGTATCTATCTTAGTCGGATAAGGGTCTTACCAGATCAAGTTGAACATGGTCAAAATCGGCGTAAGAAGTTGCGAACGAGCCTCAAGGCGTCTACAGGTAAATTATTCGCCCCAAAACTATGTTGTGTGTTTGAAGAAAACTGAAAAGTGTAGTTCAGCCATAGTGACTCTCTGAAAGAGTACTTTTTCAAAGACAAGCCGAGATAAAAGTCGAGTGTTTTTTGTGCTTGTAGACACCCCTCGTTCTATTGATAGAAGAAACCAGAATAGTAGTGAATAGGTCTTTATTTGGATCGTGGTGTAGCATAGGATGAAGCCCCCGGTTCCTTGTTTAAACACACAAAGCTTTTCAACACTCAACATAAGATGATAGGAAACATATTGCCTATACAAAATATGGAAGTGCATGAATACTTTATCTCCACTGTTTTGATATATACTTAGATGTTCCAGGTTAATTCCCGACTAATCAACCTAAGTTGTTACAATGTCTATGGTCGGTATACAAAGTGAACCTTTTGCCTTCCACAAAGTGCTGAAAGTGGTGTATAACACACCATGTGGCTGAGAGTTCCTTACCGAATGTGCTAAACCTCGATTCAATGCCTTTCAACTGTCTCAAGAAGAACGATGAGGATTATCAGATGTTGTTTGCCGATTGGCGTAAGACTCCTCCGGTCGCAAAGTCAGATGAGTCCAGGGATATAATAATGTCCACGTCTATGTCCCAGTGTGAGAACATAGTTGTTTTTGAGATAACTTCATTAACCGTGGAAAACGCTTTTCAGACAGTGTTGTCCAGATTGAGTAGTTTCCCATTTCCACGAAGTTGGTTTGTTAACAATCTAATTAGAGACTCTCCATTTGGTGTAATCCGTCGATAAAAACCTACTTAGCTGCAGAATTTACGTAAATGATTGATTGTGGTAAGTTCTGGGTAACTCGAAATGCCATTACTTTCCTTTGTGAAAGGTGAATGCTTTGGGAGTCAATATTATGCACGAGGTCTACAGAGTCGGTTCCGATTTGACATTTCTGAATGTTTACAGTCATATTTCGTGTAAGATAGTACCATAAACGGATATTGGTAAAACCATCCACTTCAAAATGGAGTCCCAGTTTGCCACATCGACACTAATCCAGCTGCATTTCCCATGTTGGACTGGATTTTGTACCCGATATACGATACTGACTTTTCGTTTCACTTGTGATGTATTATACTGGCAGTTTTATAATTCTCGTCTCTGTGGGATGAGTAGACTGACCCTAGGTCTTCAAGTCGTTCGTAAATTACGTTAGCCACAAATACTCTCAATTTATATTAAGAATAAAAGAGGAATTGGCGCACTTTTTTGAATAACCCCAATAGTACACTCTTAATTACTAATGATTTTCGGGTTAACTTTAGCAATTTGGTGCCGATCATCCAAGAATAATATATGCCAGCTGAGTAACTGGTCGTGGATTCCAACAAAATATATGATATCATATGGTATATCGTGGGATGCCTCAGATATGTAAAAATAGATTATTATAACGATTTTTCGCGGTTCGTGAGATTTTGTTGTGTGATCAAATATCTCGAAGTGATGGATCATGCGCAACCTACCTGTTACGAAACCGTGTTTTGATTTAGAGATAAGATTTCGGTTTTATATTACGAGACAATGTAGATTGTCTTTAAACTAATCGGATATAAGCCTGTATCTGATGTCACAATGAATATCTTAAGAAGAATTAGGGTGTATTATCGTCAAATGTTTTGAGGAAAATAAATAGGATACTGTCAGTTCCTATACATGTTGTGGTTTTATGGCTTTTTATAGCTTCTGATAAACTTTTTGTGCTAAGTGTCATGTTGTCGAGATTGGCAAGCTCCGTCCTGGTGCTTTAACCGGGGTGAAAAACTCTGATCCCAAACCAGTGGTGCACATGCGCTCCAGGATCCTATGGGAGAAAAGACTTATGAACCTGCTGCTGGTCACCGGCTACGATGTTGCTGCCTTTTCTAACTTTACTCCGCTGCCTTCTGGATTAGACCTACAGGTCAGGTGTCTGAGGAGTAGCCACCCAAGGAAACCAACACTATCAGTTTGTGCACACAGACAGTATAACAGTCTCCCCATAAATCAATGATAACTGCTAATGGCCTCGCTGTCAATTTATGGCGCATAAGTGTCTGGGCTTCTTCAGTACCATTATTTTAGTAGGAGCGTGAATGGTATTGTCAGTGGAACTTTACAACGCGTCGGTGAGAGCAGTTTTGCTCTATGCTTGTGAAACCTGGCCTCTCCGAGTTAAGGATGTTAGACGACTCTCTGTGTTCGATCATCGTCGTCTCCGAAGGATTGATGACATCCAATGGCAACACCGTGTTAGTAATGCAGAGGTTCAGCATCATGCATTCGGGAGCAGAGACAATA